TCTGCCTCCTAATCTCACTTTGCCCTACCTAACACAATTTCTAAAATGCATTTCTTCAATTTCATCATGCATGGTGGTTGCTTTGTTATTAATTGATTCTGCTAAATGTTAATTTTCCTCTGTGATATAAAAATTGAATACCGGAACTTGTTGGAAGTAATAAGAACTTGGACTCTGGAGCCAGTCTTCTGAATTCTGATCTTGGCTCTGTCCCTTGCCCCTTGCTAACATGTACAGATTGTCTTTCTGTGTCTTAATTTTTTCCTATGTAAAATCTCCTTCAAATATGAACAATTTGCAAGTAGAGGACTCAGGGCATATATTTAAGGGAATCTTAAGGAAAATGTTAGAGGATAAGCCCTGGAGCTGAGTAAGGGAACTGGCAAAAGTACTCTTGGAGAGCGTTGAGTGTGTGTTTAACTGCAGTGCTGAGACTGGAACAAAAGTGAGAATGAGGAAGAAAGAATAAAATGTAAATGTTAAATGTCCAGTAATGTAGGGGTTGGTTATACAACTAATAGCAGAAGAAAGAAATTGAAGGTAGAATAAGTTTGTGAATTGCCATATCTGTAGTGGCTATGAGTCAAAGGACATCATTTAAAGCTGACAAATCAGTTAGTAGAACTGTAAGCATATTTAGCAGTTCAAAGGTAAACACTGAGAAAGATAATACTATTGACTGTAACTGTGTTATGTGAGGGGGCAGTAAGATTATACAAGCTAATTTCGTAAGTGCACATAGTAGGGAGTTAGTAGTTACTGTGTAAAAAAAATGGAGGATTGATGATATTAAGTAAAATATTTAAAATTACAATTATAAAGATAGAATCAGAACTCTGGTTTCTTTTCAAATTGTATAAATGTTTTGACTTTTACTAAAGATTTCCATGGAGAGGAACAATTCTGAGTCTTAATCCAGTTTTTTGAGGCCCTGCTTTTGCAGGGTTGATTTGAAAAAAGAAAAAGAATCAGAAACATATTAGAATAAAAATATACATTATACTAATTATCAGAAAAATGGTAATTGCACAAAAAAATAGACAACAATGAAAGACTTTTAAAGAAATTTATTACCCAAAGATATTAAACGAAAGTAAAATATGGTAAAACTAAGACTAACCATGTCTGTCATATCAATACATTTTAGCCTTAGCTAAATTGGATCACCAACAAAATGTTGACTTTTAGTTTGTTTGTTTGGATCACCAACAAGATCTGTTGGTTTTTTGTTTGTTTGTTTGTTTGTTGCTGTATTCTGGATAGCTAATGACAACAAAGTAGTTTTGAAGGGCAAAAGTATGCATGTAAAGGCAAATGAAAGATGGAATTCAGACCAAAAGTCATTATTTGAGACAAAGAAGGATATTCACAAATATATATATATGTATATATATATATGTGTGTGTGTGTGTATATATATATATATGTGTATGTATATATATATATATATGTGTGTGTGTATATATATATATATATATATATGCCAAATATAAAGTGTATATTTGGCAGTGAATTTTAACATTATGGATATACAATGTTGATGGTGAGAGAGGTTATGTGGTTGTAGAACTGTGTAGCAATTCTTTGTACTTGTGTGCAACTTTTCTATGAATGTACAACTGCTCTAAAAGAGACTTTTAAAAAAAATTTAAATCAAAATCCTATGAAACGTAAAAAAAAATTTTTTTTGAACCAAAGTCAAAAGATAGTCTGTCAACTTAACAGAAAATTGGTCAAATGATGGCAGGGTGCAGTGGCTCACGCCTGTAATCCCAGAACTTTGGGAAGCCAAGGTGGGTGGATCACCTGAGGTCAAGAGTTTGAGACCAGCCTAACCAACATGGTGAAACTCAGTCTCTACTAAAAATACAAAAAAATTATCCGAGTGTGGTGGTGTGTGCCTGTAATCCCAGCTACTTAGAAGGCTGAGACACGAGAATCTCTTGAACCCGGGAGGCGGAGGTTGCAGCAAGCTGAGATTGCGCCACTGTGCTTCAGCCTAGATGACAGAACAAAACTCCATCTCAGAAAAAAAATAAAGAAATATAGTCAAATGGTATATGACTAGACAGAAGAGATGACAGAAAAGGAAATATGGGCTGGGCACGGTGGCTCACGCCTGTAATCCCAGCACTTTGGGAGACTCAGGCAGGAGAATCACAAGGTGAAGAGATCGAGACCATCCTGGCCAACATGGTGAAACACCGTCTTTAAAAAAAAAGAAAAAAAGAAAAAGAAATATGGTTGACCCATAATCATATTAAAAAAAGGATGTTATATATCATTTATAGTATAACTATACCAAGTTAATATTTTTCTTTCTTTTTTTTTTTTTTTTTTTTTTTGAGACATGGTTTCACTCTGTCACCCAGGCTGGAGTGAAGTGGTGCTACCAGGGCTCACTGCAGCCTCAACTTCCCAGGCCCAAATGATCCTTCCACCTCAACCTCCCAAGTAGCTGGGACTACAGGCATGTATCACCATGCCCAGCTAATTTTTGTATTTTTTGTAGAGATGGGATTTCACCGCATTGTCCAAGCTGGTCTTGAGCTCCCAGGCTCAAGCAGCCCGTCTGCCACAGCCTCCCAAAGTGCTGGGATTACAGGCCTGAGCCACTGCACCTAGCCTTTCATTGTTAATGTTGGTAAAAATCTTAAAGTGTGATAGTATACTCTGGGCAACAAGTAATTACATGTTACTGTTAGTGGTTGTAGGGCAATAAGTAATCATATATTACTGTTAGTGGTATGAAAAGGTACAGTTGCCATAGAGGACAGCTTGGTAATATTCATCAAAATTAAAATTGCATTAATCCTTTAACTTAGCAGTTTTACTTCTGGGAATTTGTAGCTGTCCCTGCTCTTTAATGAAATAGCATGTGCAGATGACCATTTATTTCAGCATTTTTTTGTAAAAATAGCTAAAAACAGCCGGGCGCGGTGACTCACGCCTGTAATCCCAGCACTTTGGGAGGCCGAGGCGGGTGGATCACGAGGTCAAGAGATCGAGACCATCCTGGTCAACGCGGTGAAACCCTGTCTCTACTAAAACTACAAAAAATTAGCTGGGCATGGTGGCGCGTGCCTGTAATCCCAGCTACTCAGGAGGCTGAGGCAGGAGAATTGCCTGAACCCAGGAGGCGGAGGTTGCTGTGAGCCGAGATCACGCCATTGCACTCCAGCCTGGGTAACAAGAGCGAAACTCCGTCTCAAAAAAAAAAAAAAAAAGCTAAAAACAGCTTAGGTGTTCATTGGTATTAGACTAGGTAATTATGATACATTTTACAGTAGAGTACTATGTCATTTCAATATATTTACCTAAAAATAACAAAGATCTTTAGAAAGTACATAATACTACACCTTTCTAATTTTTTCATCAAATTAACCTTTTTTTTTTTTCTGAGACCGAGTCTCTGTCACCCAAGCTGGAGTACAGTGGTACGATCTCAGCTCACTGCAACCTCCGCGTCCTGGGTTCAAGTGATTCTCCTGCCTCAGCCTCCTGAGTAGCTGGGATTACATGGATGTGCCACCACGCTGGCTAATTTTCTTGTATTTCTGGTCGAGACAGGGTTTTGCTATGTTGGCCAGGCTGGTCTTGAACTCCTGGCCTCAAGTGATCCACCCAACCTCGGCCTCCCAAAGTGCTGGGATTGCAAGCATGAGCCACCACACCCGGCCCATCAATGTAACTTTAATGACAGAAAATATGTAAACAAGTGGTATATGGTATTATACCTTGAAATGACCAGTTTTCTGATAATTTCTACTTTATCTTTAAATTCTGTGAGCTTACTGTATTCTCTCTAATATGTTTTAATTTAGAATAAATTTTTAAAACTGCTCTTATCATTGAGTAATCCTACTCCAGGAAGTTGCACCTTATTTATTTTTTGCCTGCTCTTACCCATAATGTTTTGTTACCCATTCTTGTTTGATAAACATGTGTAGCAAAGTTAATTCTTCAGGTACTACCTTATTGTTTTTGTGGGCAATTTTTCTAGACTGATTCAGCTGAAAAACTATAATCTGTAAACAGAATAGCCCTGTATTTGTCTCAAAATAGTTTATCAAGTTTGTCTACTTTCTAATATTGAACATTTCCAACAAATGACACCTAAACCAATTTGATTTATTTGCAGTTGGGCATTAATAATGTTGTAGTGGTTTGTTCAGTGTGTTTCTATGTAAAATATCTGTGTTTTGTGTTAGACATTCAAATCTATTTCTTTGTAAAATACTATCTTTAGCAGGATGAAGTTAAAGGAAGTAGATCGTACAGCCATGCAGGCATGGAGCCCTGCCCAGAATCACCCCATTTACCTAGCAACAGGTAAGTTCAAAGGAGAGAAGATAGTGTGAGTAACCTAATTTCTTCTCCTCTGCATCTAGCTTATTCAGTTTAATCTTTATCTTCTCTGGAAAGCCTGTCTCTCCCTGACAAGTTACCGACATTCTATCATCTGAGTTCAGTCAGTGTTCTTCGGTGTTCCCACAGTGTTTTGATCATGATAGGTTGCATCTAAAATGTTTTCCTTACTTGACAGGAATTGTATTTTATCTTTATTTCCCTAGATGGCATGTAAAAAACAGTTAATATCAGCTTGAATGAATGAAGAACAATTTTGTTGTTAGCGTTTTTTTTTTTTGAGACAGAGTCTTTTTTTTTTTTTTTTTTTTGAGACGGAGTTTCGCTCTTGTTACCCAGGCTGGAGTGCAATGGCATGATCTCGGCTCACCGCAACCTCCACCTCCTGGGTTCAGGCAATTCTCCTGCCTCAGCCTCCTGAGTAGCTGGGATTACAGGCACGTGCCACCATGCCCAGCTAATTTTTTTGTATTTTTTTAGTAGAGACGGGATTTCACCATGTTGACCAGGATGGTCTCGATCTCTTGACCTTGTGATCCACCCGCCTCGGCCTCCCAAAGTGCTGGGATTACAGGCGTGAGCCACCGCGCCCGGCCGAGACAGAGTCTTGCTTTGTCGCCTAGGCTGGAATGCAGTGGCGTCATCTCGGTTCACTGCAACCTCCGCCTCCCAGTTTCAAGTGATTCTCCTGCCTCAGTCACCTGAGTAGCTAGGACTATAGGCATATGCCACCACACCCAGCTTATTTTTGGATTTTTAGTAGAGACCGGGTTTCACCATGTTGGCCAGGATGGTCTGGACCTTGACCTCGTGATCCGCCCTCCTCAGCCTCCCAAAGTGCTGGGATTACAGACGTGAGCCACCATGCCTGGCCAATGTTAGCATTTTTATATAAAAAGGATTAGTTGGCTGGGCTCAGTGGCTTATGCCTGTAATCCCAGCACTTTGGGAGGCCAAGGCAGGTGGATCACAAGGTCAAGAGATCGAGACCATCCTGGCCAGCTTGGTGAAACCCCGTCTCTACTAAAAATACAGAAATTAGCTGGGCGTGGTGGTGCAAGCCAGTTGTCCCAACTGCTCGGGAGGCTGAGGCAGGAGAATAGCTTGAACCTGGGAGGCAGAGGTTGCAGTGAGCTGAAATCGCACCGCTGCACTCCAGCCTGGGCAACAGAGCAAAGCTCTGTCTCCAAAAAAAAAAAAAAAAAAAAGTTGGCCTGGCATGGTGGCTGACGCCTGTAATCCCAACACTTTGGGAGACCAAGGTGAATTGGTCATCTGAGATAAGGAGTTCAAAACCAGCCTGGCCAACATGATGAAACCCCATCTCTACTAAAAATACGAAAATTAATTGGGCGTGGTGGTAGGGGCCTGTAATCCTAGCTACTCGGGAGGCTGAGGCAGGAGAATCACTTGAACCTGGGAGGCGGAGGTTGCAGTGAGCCAAGGTCGAACCGTTGCACTCCAGCCTGGGCAACAGAGCAAGACTCCGTTTCAAAAAAAAAAAGTTAAATCATGTATGTCTATAAGCAGATATAGTAAATCACTAGATCATTTTTACAGAGATTTTAAAAATATCTACAAGCTTAAAAAATTATTTATACTACCCACTCTTATAAACATTGTCTCCTAGCCCTGTGCCAGAATCTCATTCCTATAGTAATTTAAGCATCTGCTCAATGGCATATGTGCTGAGATTTCAGCCACTAATGCAGCATTCACGAGCAAGACAATTGAAAAACATGCTTTTAATTTCTGTTATGTGGTTTCTTTGAGTCTTTTATTTTTGTATGTATAGTTACCATAAATGTATTTTCTGTAGGAACATCTGCTCAGCAATTGGATGCAACATTTAGTACCAGTGCTTCCCTTGAGATATTTGAATTAGATCTTTCTGATCCATCCTTGGATATGAAATCTTGTGCCACATTCTCCTCTTCTCACAGGTATGAGGTTCAGCTTTAAATTCATGTGATTAATAGTATATTGTTGTTGATTTCTAATTTATCCGTAAGTGTGCCATTTTAGAAACTACAAGGAATACCAGCAAGGACATGAAATATTTTGTCGATAAAAAGCATGTGAGTTAATTTTTATAGGAGTAAAAGTAGTGTTTCTAAGTTCTATTGACTTTTTTTTCTCTTTTTTTTTTTTTGACACAGAATCTCACTTTGTAGCCCAGGCTGGAGTGCAGTGGCACAATCTCGGCTCACTACAACCTCCACCTTCCAGGTTCTAGCAATTCTTGTAGCTGGGATTACGGGTGTGCGCCACCCCACCCAGCTAATTTTGTATCTTTAGTAGCGACAAGGTTTTGCCATTTTGGCCAGGCTGGTCTTGAAGTCCTGACCTCAAGTGATCCATACACCTCCGTCTCCCAGAGGGCTGGTGTCCAGCCAGTTTGTTCTGTTGACTTTTTTATTGCTGTTATATGTAAGGTGGGAAGGAGAGGCTGTAGTTTCTAGCATTTTTTTTTTTCTCATTATGTGGTAGAGTTTTTTTTTTCCTGTCTCCATTATTGCACCTGTTTGCAAAACGGTAGATGTGACTAGAAAAAGGAGTAGTCATATTAAGATATTAATAGTGATTACCTCTGAATGGTACCTTATTTTTATTTTCTTCTGTTACTATATTTAGAAATATATTTCACAGACAGTTTTGTTGACATGATTTCTAATTCACTAGGTAACTAGGTTTTTGGATCTTACTTTCAAGTACTTATTCCCTATTTTAATGTAGAGAAAGAACACTTTCATTTGAGTAATAAAGTAAGCTTTATTGCCTTAATATCTTTGCAGGGTTTAAAGAGATTGTTCTTTAGCTGATAGAAAACAGCTCAAATCATGCAGTTTCATGGGACCTCTTATCTTCTTCAGAGCTGTCACAGTAGGATGGGAACCCCAGATAACTTTTGTCTAGTAGTTTTTTTTTGAGACAAAGTTTCACTCCTGTTGCCCAGGCTACTGGAGTGCAATGGCACGATCTCAGCTCACCTCCCAGGTTCAAGTGATTTTCCTTCCTCAGCCTCTCAAGTAGCTGCAATTATAGGCATGCGCCACCATTCCTGGCTAATTTTGTATTTTTAGTAGAGACAGGGTTTCTCCCTGTTGATCAGGCTGGTCTCAAACTCCCGACCTCAGGTGATCCACCTGCCTCAGCCTCCCAAAGTGCTGGGAGCCACCACGCCTGGTCTCTTGTCTAACAGTTTTTCTACTTACTACCATCTGTATCATTGTATACATTTTTGCCTTCATATTGTATCTCCATTCTAGACCGTATATTTTATTCTCCAACAGTAGGAGTACTTGTCATAATATAATTTTGATGTCACTTTTCTCCTGTTAGAATACATTCTTTTTCTTAGAAAATTTCAGGTGACTCCTTTAACACTTTTACTATTTAAAAGACTACTTGTTAGTGACCCCTCTTTTTTTTTATTTTTATTATCTTTTTGACAAAGGTCAAACCTTGAGACCCTTCTATAGTCAAATAAAGAATGTTTTTATTTTTCAAGGAAAGTGATTGTTTAGCTCTATTTTACAATGAACCAGAGGCAATTTAAGAAGGTTAAGTAACTTAGGGTCTCACAGTTTCTAAATGGTAAAATCATTCTTAAGCTCATAGCTTGTGACATACAACTCAAGTATACTTTGTTACACTACCTTACAAGAGTTTTTGCTCTTTAAGGATTATAAAATCAAAATATGCAAATATGAGTATAAATAAAAAATGAAATACTATTATACCAAAGCCATACATAGTTACCAGGAGTGGAGGAGAAGTAATGTATTTGAACTATTTATAAAAACCTAAAAAGTTAAATGTATAATTTCAAAATTTTGTGTACATTTATTTGACTTTAAGAATGAGTTAAATTCATTTTCTTCTATAGGTACCACAAGTTGATTTGGGGACCCTATAAAATGGATTCCAAAGGAGATGTCTCTGGAGTTCTGATTGCAGGTGGTGAAAATGGAAATATTATTCTCTATGATCCTTCTAAAATTATAGCTGGAGAAAAGGATGTTGTGATTGCCCAGAATGACAAGCATACTGGCCCAGTGAGAGCCTTGGATGTGAACATTTTCCAGGTTAGACTTTGACATTTATTCATAATTCTTAGACTATGTGCTGCTCATTAGAAATAAATACATGACTACTGTGCCTCAGTTTTGGAACTGAAAGCTTAAAAAAAATGTGTGGCTATACAGGTTGATGAGTGTTTTGTTGTTGTTTTATTTTATTTATTTTTGGTGCCATGGCTCGGATCCGAACAAGTGTTTTTTAAAGAATGGTGGGTTCAGAGTTGAGATCAAGGTTAAAAATACTAACTCAGTGAAAAGGATCAGGCTGATAGATTTAAGTCTGAAGATGTCATGCCATTTGATGAGACATTTTACAAACATTAAGAACCCCATAGGTTGGAAACCTTGCCTTTTAAAAGTTTGTGCTAGGTCAGTGTTAGGCTGGTGCTATGATGTCCAGGTTAATTCACTGTTTTAATAATTGAGAAATTTTGTATTTATTACAAAGAGATTACTGCTTTGTGAAATAATTAGAAATTAAATGTAATGCAGATTTAACAAATGGTCAATTAAGATCTTTGTACTGTTGCCTTCATAAACATTACTGGATGTTAATTATATGAATGCACAGCTTAATAAAGATCTTGGCCTGAATAAGATGGTAAAACCCTGTCACTATAAAAAATGCAAACAGAGTGGTTTGGGCGTGGTGGTTCACACCCATAATCGCAGCATTTTGGGAGGCCAAGTTGGGTGGATTACAAAGTCAAGAGATCGAGACCATCCTGGCCAACATGGTGAAACCCTGTCTCTACCAAAAATACAAAAATTAGCTGGGCATGTTGGCACACGCCTGTAGTCCCAGCTACTTGGGAGGCTGAGGCAGGAGAATTACTTGAACCCAGAAGGTGGAGGTTGCAGTGAGCTGAGATCACGCCACTGCACTCCAGCCTGGTAAAAGAGCAAGACTCTGTCTCGCCGGGTGCGGTGGATCACGAGGTCAAGAGATCAAGACCATCCTGGTCAACATGGTAAAACCCCGTCTCTACTAAAAATACAAAAAATCAGCTGGGCATGGTGGCGCGTGCCTGTAATCCCAGCTACTCAGGAGGCTGAGGCAGGAGAATTGCCTGAACCCAGGAAGCGGAGGTTGCGATGAGCCGAGATCGTGCCATTGCACTCCAGCCTGGGCAACAAGAGCGAAACTCCGTCTCAGAAAAAAAAAAAAAAAAAGCAAAAGCAAACAATTAGCAGAACATGGGGGCACATGCCCCACTACTTGGGAGGCTGAGGTAGGAGGATGGCTTTAGCCCAGGAGTTATAGGCTGCAGTGAGCTATGGTCATTCCACTGCACTCCAGCCTGGGTGACACATTAGAGACCCTGTCTGGGAAAAAAAAAAAAAAAAAAAAAA